ATTATTTCCATATACCAGACGTTTTCGTCGTCGAATATAGATGTTGATGTTGAGGCAATTGTGTGTGTGTGTGTGCGTAAAATTGGTGAATGTTGTCATGAGGTGATTACATAGTATATACAAGCTAAAGTAAAGCAGGTCGTTACTTGATGCTTTCCTGCAAGTCAACTCACTCCCGCTTCCCATGTAAACAAACAAGACATTCTAGCTAAATAGCTAGAAGAGATTAAAAGGGAAAGCCGGTTCCCAGCCCAAACCTATCCAGGTATATAGCCAAAATGCAAACAGGTCGTGACGTCGTAAAAGATGGTGGGTATGCGATATATATGTGTGTGCTGGATGAACGAATAGGGGGAATCCAATTACTGTCAATACGGAAAACGCGAAGGGTCGTAAATCAAAAAGCTACTGCGAAAACGCGGATCCAGGAGCCACGGGGTCGACGTAATATCTACTTCCGATACTACGTCTAATCTTCTCCCGCCTTTTTTCTGTACGGCGCTCCCTTAGTCTCTCCTTAACGCCAGATATGCCAATGTACTGGACGTGGTATTTCTTCAGACCTGGAAGGCTCTTGCCTTGGCGCCAGGAGCCTCGGCTTCTACGGGACTGTTCGTACTCATAGGAGACGGTCGACATGTTGTCTGGCACGGAAGCGCTGCGACGGAGGTCGTGGCTAGAACGACGCTTTGTAACGCCACCGCCGCGGTGACGGCCCAGGGGCTGTGTGGGTGCTTGGATAATGACCTTGGGCTCGGCCAAATGGCCAGCTGTGCGTGGGGTTCGGAAGTGTGGTGGAAGAGTGACATGATGACGACGTTTATTCGTGCCCGCACGTTCAACGCCGAGAGAGTTGCCGATGAGGAAGCCGCCTGAGCCACGGAAACCGCCCTTCAGCTTGTTGCCGAGAGTGCTGGCACGCCGTGGTCGTGGCGGCTCCTGCTCCGGCTCTGGATCTTCAATGTCGCTGGTGTCGCCACCCTGGGGCAGGCCTTCTTCCTCGTCGCTCTCTGAGTCACCGTCTTCGAACCCATCCCAGAAACCGCGCGGGCGCCAGAAAGGATGAAGTGTGCCATCTTCGTCATTGACACTGGGGACTGAGGGATTTCGGTGAGTGTGTCCGTGAGACTCACTAGCGTATCGGGTTCGGTTGTTTGAAGCGCGAGCGAAAAGGGGTGTGATGAGATTGTCAGAGTACCGCCGAGCTCGCTGCAAAACAGATAGTCGCCGTTGGGGGTGGGAATCAGATCGCTCAGGAGGTCCTGGTGGCCCAGGTACCAGCTCCTTCTCGAGCTCTTCCATGGGCGTAGGAGGAATGAAGTTGATTTTAGGTGGCACTGGCGGGTCTCGAGGGTTTTCAAGAGGCGAGTCTACGCCGTCAGGCTGGAGGAGGTCAGACTGCATCGGAGGGGTTGAGGGCTCAAAGGTCAAAGTTGGCTGGGGGTATGGTTCATCAGTCTCTTCGCGAGCCTCCTGAGGTGCTTCATCTGCATCCACAAACGGTGGTGTAGGTGATGCCTGCACCTCTCGGACGTCCTGTAGTTGACGCTGCTCTGGCAACAGGGAGTTTCCACGCGATTGCTGCACGACGAGCAGAGAGTTGTTGTTGTGGGGATAGATGCTCACAGCAGTTGCCTCGGTGACTTCGACTGTATCGGAGAACTGGGAAAATGGCGTCGATTGAGAGTACAGGTGGCGGGCATTAGCATGCTCTTCAGTCCGAGAAGCAGACCGCGAAGCGGATCGATCGAAACTAACGCGGCCGTGGTCTCCAGAGTCAGGTCGCGATGCCTGGCTGCGGCGTTTCATCTCTGGTGTGTATACACGATCGTCTACGACGGGCCGAACAGCCGCGTCAGGAGACAAGGAAGCGCTCTCCTGGTGTAGAGATGCTCGCTTCGCCCATGAAGTTGGCCTCGATGTTTGACGCTGAGGCTCACTATCTTTCAATGGCGAGAACTTCTCTAGGTTCTCGGATGTAGCAGGGTTCTGCTTTGCGTCAACGACGAGGGTAGCTTCCTCTGCAGTCTCACGAGCCGCAAGTAGGCGTCTGACTCTGTCTGTCAACGCAGACGGCACACGAGCGTCTTCGACAGGATGACTCGCTCCCATGAAGACGTCGCGTTCGGCTGGTCCATCCACACCCTGGTCAGGAAGATCGGACAGGGTCTTGTCGAGACCGCCTGGAAGTTTCACATCAGTGACCACTGGTTCCTGTCGTCGACCTTTCCGCGACGTCGGTGATGCTCGGCGTGGCTTCGGTGAAAGGGTTGGCGATGGTGCTCGCTCCACAGGCGGTTGTGTAGTTTCAATCGGCCTTGGACTTTTGGACGGCAGGATCTCTGTAAAGTTTCTTGGTTTTGAGGACAGCGTTCGTCTTGTGGGTTCAGGTGCTGAGTTTACTCGTTTGTGGTAACTGCCACCTGATCGGGCAATTGTGCTGTGTCGACTCAGTATGTCCGCGGCAGGTTGTAGCACGTTCCGTATGGATTCCTGATGAGCCTGTGTATGCGCCGAGCTATCAATAGTCCTCGATCGCAACGACAGAGACGGAGACATGATGCGCTGAGAACTGACATCGGAGTCAGTGCTAAACCTCGCGCTCCTGTCGGCAATGTTGGTCCTCTTGTGCACTAGGCGACGAGGCGGCACGTCGTCGTACTGGGAAATGACCGAGTTGCGATTTGAGTAGGCTCCGGATCCAAGCTCCGAAGGCGCGCTGATGTCTCTTCTGTATGCCATGTTCCGTCCTGAGTGTCGTAGTGTCTGTGTTCTTCGCGGCGGAGTGATGATAACATGAGCCGATACTACTGTCGAAGCCACTGACGCTGTCGAGAGTCGCTTGTTGGTTGAATCGCGATGCTTCCCGGCCGACATGCCTTCGCCCTCCGAGGGCCACCCGATAGAATGCGCAAAGTTCTCGATGGACGGCGTAACGGGACTGTTGTGGCTGGCCTCGACGCGTTGGCGCAGACTGGAAGCGCGTCGCGCTCTGTTGCTTGGAGTTGGGGAGGCGGCTTCGACGATGGTGACGGCAGGAGCGGATTCGGCAATGGGTTCTGCGACGGGCGCGACAGGCTTTGCGACGGGTTCTGGGGCGGATACTTTGCGAGGAGAATTGTAGTCGGGTCTGCGTTTTCTGCGAACCGTTACGTTGCGCATGAGGTCTGTGTTCCACTCGCGATCTGGGATATGCTCGACCGCCTGGGGACCCTTGTTTTCCTCAGCACCGACGGTTGAATCCACCTGTTCAGTAGCGGGGAAGTAGGGGCCTTGGGTGTTGGTTGGCGTGACATCACTTTGGTCATGTTCGAATGCCAGGCCCAGTCCTCGGTCTTCGTCGACAGTGCTCAGCCTGTCGTTGGCGGGTGTCACTGATCTGCTGTCGTCGCGATCCGACGAGAAGGGGTCCTCTCTAGCAGTCTGGAAAGAGTCTGCTCTCGAGGACGGATATGTGTATATGGGCGGTCGTTGGAGCGTGGCATTGGTAGCGTTGGAAGCATTGGAGGCGTTGGTTCGCGGCGGACTGGGATCGGGCGTGGGAGGACTGCGCGCATTGACCGGAGTGCTGAGGGACGACTTGTGTGAAATGAGCGAGTTGCGTACGCTGTCGGCAAGTGGCGGTTGCTCGGGCATTTGGGTCGAGGATCCGTCCTGCGAAGCTGTGGGCGGCGTGGGCGGGAGGCCGCTGTCTGCTCCCTTGAGCAGGCCGGGCGAGGGGAGCGGCGTGTTGTGGTCGCTTTCGACGGTCGACTCGGTGTCATGGGTAGCTTGTGTGGTGTATGAATCGTCTCGTTTCAGGGGCGCTGCAGCTCTCGAGTAGGTGCGGTAGTCGTCGGTGCGGAGCGGCAGGCGCTTCGTCTGGCGTAGGTTCGGGGAGGGTTGGAAAGACGACTCGAGCATGGCATAGACGTCGGGCTCGGGTTGAGACATGGTAGCCAGCCGCCTTGCCGTCCCTGTCGCTGCTGGCCCGTGTACCGCTGCAAGGTGGCTCTTCTGTCGTTGTTGTTAAGAAGCCATGACCCGCGAGCGCAAGACGGCTGTCGCTGTGCCCACGTCGCAACACCCGAGACGTATGCAGGCTGCCGTCGGTGCAGGGCGCTGGGTGGTGGTGACGCAGGTAGCCTCGGGGTGGCCGTGCCAAGCCAGCCGTTCACGATGCGATTAAGCGGATGCACGACGGACAGGACAATTTGCGACGGGGCACGGTATGGCGAGTGAGGCGGATTTTGGAGACGGGACGTTGGTGTGCGGAAGGAGCAGGTCACTGCGCAAGAATCGATGCGCGCGCCGAATTGGTGGCTTTCCAAGCTTCGGCGGTGATGGCGGCCGGGGGTCCAGATGGCCTCAGTGATCGCGTCAGGTTCTGGGCGACTGTGTTAGGGGAACAGAGAAACAGGTGCCGTGGTGGCGATTGTGTGTTTAGAAAAGCAACAATTCTTACTACTACCGACATTACCATGCGAAGCAGCTGTGGTTGGAGACGGCCGTGTCAGCTAACGCTTCACCATCATCTCATTCGCCTTATCGCAAGCATTTGTGCCAGCAATCGCGCCAGTCATCCCGCCCAACACGCTGCTTTTCTGCACCACAGCCCCCTCCCCCTCTTCCGTGTACCCTGTATGTGACAGTACTCCGCGACCCGCATCGACTTGCAATCATGTGCTCAAGTCTCTTTGTACCTTTGTACTTTGTACCTTGCACTGAATAGCTAGCCTCGTGCATTCCAACAGTCGTTGATCAAGATCGCACACTGGCCCCAAATATGTCAAACTACACCACCCGTCTTGGTGACAGCCGTTCAAGTCGACCGTCTCGGGTCCTCCCAGCGCATAGCTAGACATCACGCTACAAAGGTGACGTCATGAGCCTCTGATGGCATTTTTACGTGCGAATGCTCTCAAGAGTGGAGCCATGGAAACTACATGATAAAAGTTCAAACACGTTCGCCAATATGCATCTTCACACCAACATATCCGAGGTAGAATCTGTTCTACAACATGCACGCTATTGCAGTAACCGAGTATGGTCCCATTACCAACCTCAAATCAATCGACATTCCCAAACCCTCCGACCCGCAAGGCCATGATATTCTCGTGCGCATGAAAGCCTGCTCTGTCAATCCAGTCGACACCAAGGCGCGCGCTGGGACCTACGATGACTATCCAGACTATTACCAACGAACACCCAAGCTTCCCCAAATCCTTGGCTTTGATGGCGCTGGCGTGATAGAAAGTGTCGGATCTGCTGTCAAGAACTTCAAGTCTGGCGACGAGGTGTACTACGCCGGTTCCCCAATCCGACAAGGAAGCAACGCTGAATACCAGCTGGTAGATTCGAGAGCCGTGGCACTGAAACCAAAGAGTTTGGACTGGGAACAAGCTGCTGCCATGCCCTTGACTTGGATCACAGCGTATGAAGCACTCGTGGAACGCATGGAAATTCAGAAGAACGAACTGGCTGGCATTTTGATCATCAACGGAGCAGGAGGCGTTGGCAGCGTAGCAAGTCAGATCGCGCGTCGTGTTCTCAACCTCCCTGTTGTAGTCACTACAGCGTCTAGAGAAGAGACGGTCAGTTTTTCAAAAGACGTAGGAGGCGCCACGCATACCATCGACCATCACCAAGACATTACAGAACAAGTTGACAAGTTGAAGCTCGACGTCCCCATCAAATACGTCTTCATCACGCACACGCCAACGTCTGGCTATCTCGCACCTGCAGCTAAGATTTGTGCACCCTTCGGAAGAGTATGTTCTATTGTTCAAGACAAGGAGATGCCAATGTATGGCACCGAATTCATGGCAAAGAGCCTTACGTTCGTTTGGGCATTGTTGGGCACAAAACCCTATTACGGAGTTGACATTGAGAGTCACGGAAGAATTCTCAAAGAACTGGCTCAAATGCTAGATGATGGTCAAGTCAAGTGTCATTGCATGCAGAAGCTGAAGGTCGATGAACATGGCTTGAGAAAAGCTCATGAGATCATTGAAGGTGGAAAAGCGGTTGGAAAGGTTGCTTTAGAATTCTAACCAGAGAAACGTAGTATCGATAGATTAAAAGTATTCGCCTATCCAAACGGATACATTGATATTTCTCTCATGTGTCGGGAGCGCAACCGTCTCGGCTTCATTGCCGTTACAATGGTTCTGACGTCAAACCCCGCGCTGTCACTTCCCGTTCGGGCAAGTGTTTCCCCAGATATATCCCATTCACCCATCTGTTCAGCAATACCAACCAAACTAACCCAACATATCACTTTTCACAATGGGAATAAAAGTAAACTCTTACAAACTCTCTCCCACGCCGCTTATCCCAAACTCTCCCTATCCACTACTCCACTACCCAGGTCTACTCCGCGATCTAGTATCATCGCCCACCTTCAAAACTACTCAAATACTAGATCTCTACGCCTCAAATGGCTGGCAAACGCAATGGATAGCAAAATACGGTCTGGATATCCAATCCCACTATCACTCCACCACACACGAAGCCATGACTGTCATCTCAGGCGAAGGTGCCACCATCCGCTTCGGTGTTGCCGACTCACCCTCCTGGACCCAGGGAAAGCACTCACCAGGAGACAGAGCAGATGGCGAAGAAGGCGGCATAGACATTGAAGCGAGAATTGGCGACGTGTTCATCATACCTGCTGGCGTAAGCCACAAGACGTTTCTTCCCAAACCACATAATGAGAAGCTCGGGTTCTATCAACCAAAGGATGTTGAAGAAGGTCTGGCAGCAGAGATTGATGATGAGAAGGAGCGCGAGAGAAGAAAGTTCTTTGAGAGTGTCGAGATCGAGAAGAACTTCATGATGATGGGCGCATATCCTTACGGTGGTGTTTGGGATTTCGCTGTTGGAGGTGAGCATAATGGAAAAGAGGGAGAGGTTTGGCATGTAAAAGTGCCAAGGAAGGATCCTGTGCTCGGGGATGGTGAAGAGGGCATTCTGGGACTATGGCAAGGGATTTAAGCACTGTAGTAACTTGCAGACCATCCAGTATGTACATTGCTGAATTGCCAACTCTTGCGGGTGCCGCAATGATGAGGTTGGAATTTCTCCGCATTTTTTGTCCTGAGATGGGTCCGATGATCCCGGAATCGGCGCTAGCTCCACTCTCACGCAACGCGCCCTACGAGCGATCTCATTACATCTCGTTGATATATAGCAGGTAGCCATGCCCCTACAATTCGCGCCTTCACAACTGTTCTTCATGATCGACGAAACTTGCGTTTTTTTTTTTTGCGTCGGTTCAGATCAATGCGATGCTTGGACGATTCCTCAACTATTCCAGAGCATGCTTTTCATGTACGCGTACGAATAGCGCATTGAGAAAAAGAGCAGACACAAGAGGCACGCAAGACTGGCCCTCTAGACAGTCCCCCTAGAGACCCTCGCTTCTACGCGCCGCACACATGGACCGATGCTTTGTGAGGACCGTCACCCGCTGGTAACCGCCGGATCATAGACACAGTCAAGCGACCGCCATCGTTATCATCATTACCAACGCCAACACATCGTTTCATCAAGGGCTCATACCAAAGCACACAGTAGCCGGAGCGAATTTACGCCCGGCCCAGGCCATCGGGCTTCCAAGTGCCAAGTCAGTGCCGTATAGCCGGGTGCCATCTTACAGATAACAAATGCACGGCCTAGCTCTCAGCCAACTGTGATATTACTCGCAGTGAATGGCCCATTTTCGAGCATTACCCCGAATCTGGATGGCCTCATCTGTCGCGTGCGTGTATTCGAACGCGTGCCAAGACCCCGCCCTCAGGCCCAAGACTTACCGTAGTGTCCTGACGATATCACTACCCCTCGTGGCTGGCACGCTAACACAGGACCAGCGCCACGTCCGAGAACATGGTATGGAGCTGGCACTTGTCTGATCTGAAATCATCCAACCAGGACGAAGCTGCTGATCACTTGGGATCCGTTGTACCCGGTCTGTAGGGCACGCCTGGAGCTAGCTGAGCCTGTGCGAAGAATCTGGGGAAGTCTTGGAGATGTACGCCACAGTTGTAGTAATGTTTGTAGAAGGAAGGTGGGCGATTGCTCGGGCTGGGCAGCGCTTGGTGAGACAGAAATCCAAGAGAGGATGGTCAGGTAGTATGTCTCTATATACCGGGATCAACTGCGTCAGTCTTACGGTCGACTCTAAGATTCACCACACCACTCCTGTTGTTCATACAATTCATATCTTCTCGCCTTGAACGTCAAGATGGGAGCAATCAAGAAAATCCTTCTGAAGCTCTCGCCAGATTCGAAAAAAGGGGAAGATGGCCGCGATGTGTTTGGAAACCGTGTTCAATTCGTTCTCTGCGCCATGGGCGGTGCCGTTGGTCTTGGTAACCTGCTACGATTCCCGTCAGTCGTGTACAACAACTACGGTCTTCAGTTCTTCATTCCGTACCTCATCGCTCTTTTTTTCGTTGCCCTTCCCGTCTTGGTCTTAGAGATCGCGCTTGGTACCGTCTACCGTGGTGGTCCTGTGTTGGCATGGCACAGCAACAACAAGCGCGCCAAAGGCATTGGTCTTGCCGTCGTATTCAACGGTGTAAGCAGATTTGGGCCCAACGGGGTTGCAGAACAAACGCTAATCTTCCACCCTCAGTATGTTGTTGTTACCTATTATGTACCGCTCCTATCCTGGATCATGAAGTACTTTGCTCGATCGTTTCAGAGTCCCCTTCCATGGAAAGGGGCAGACCTCAGCGAGTACTTTTCTGAAGTCATAGTTGCCAACGCGGCCCCAGCATCGACCGGTAGCTTCAACCCCGATGGCAGTGTCGCCTCTTACACTAGTTACACGGGAACCGGGATGCTGGGAGAGACTGCAGGCTGGGCAATCTTCACCTGGTTTGTCACCTGGTTGTGCGTTTTTAGGGGTGTAGGCATGACTGGACGTGTCATCTACGTTACGATGGGTCTCCCTCTGGTTCTGATCATTATTCTTATTGGTCGTGGAGTCTCTCTACCTAATGCTGGAGAGGGTATCAAGTTGTACTTTGCTACGTGGAGGACAAGCGCACTCCAGGGTCCGCAGATCTGGCAAGCGGCTTTTGGTCAGATATTCTTCTCTATTGGTGTCGGCTTTGGGTAAGCTTCAAACGCGGCACAACAAGTAAGTACGCTGACACGCATTCAGGTACTTCACTTCATGGGCATCTTACTGCTCGCAACACTCAAACGCCGTACAAGATGCTCTTATTATCGCCTTTAGCAACTCCGCTGTCGAGGTCATTGCCGCTTTCTCGGTCTTCGGTGTCATTGGCTACTTGGGCATTGACCCCTCCAGCGGTGAGGCCTTGGGTACTTTCGTCACAGGATTCATCACATACCCCGAAGCTCTAGCACAGATGCCAGGCGCTCCGTTCTTCTCCGTAGTCTTCTGTAAGCATCCGCGAACGATCAGCACTCGAGACATGAGCTAACTCAGTAGTCTTCACTCTCTTCCTTCTCGGCCTCACTTCCGCGTTCTCTCTCCTCGAAGTCATGACTACGTTAATCCTCGACACAAACTGGGGCTGCAAGATTCCTCGCTGGGCTGTTTGCACTATTGTGACTATTGTCTCTGCGCTCATTTCTTTGATTTATTGCACAGAGTTTGGTCTCCAAGCCCTTGATGCAGTGGATACATACGTTAACGATGTCGCGCTCTTCTTCACAGGTTCGTATGCTCTTTCTGACGGCATTGGGTGGCCCGCTAACATATCTGTAGTATGGTGCGAGACCTTCGCCGCAACATCGCTCTACCGCTGCCGCGATGTCGCGAACCAGGTCGGCTGGCCCAGCTACCTCATCTACACCATCGGATTCGCTGTCGCCCAAGGACTTGGCATTCGCGTTGCTTACGGCTCCACTCCTGGAACTGGTGCTGGCGTCGGTTTTGCCTTCTTCTTTGCCAGCACTTTCATCGCACTCTTCGCTGCTAGAACACCTGGTATCCCCGCCCCGCGTTTCTGGGGTAACAGCAAGTTCATGAGCCGTTTCTGGTGGGTAGCTTTCTATCCTGGAAATCAACTTACTAGGGATCTCAATGTTCTCATTGGCGTCGGAAAGAACTGGAATATCCCTTATTTTTGGGCTGCTATCATGAAGGTATGTTTACGAAAGTTGATTGCTCATGATTGCACCGCGCTAATAATATTGTTCCATAGTACATCTCCGGTCCTATCCTTGCCATTGTCCTCTCATTCGCCTATCCGAAGTTCACGGAAACGCATATGTACGACCCCATCATGATCTATGGCTTCAGCATCGTTCATCTCGTTTTACCAACGATTGTATTGGGTCTCTTAATGCCGTCCTGGTTCAATTGGATCATTCCTTCCGCGAAGATTCCCCTGGGCGAAAAGCCAGTTGCGCCAATGGAGACGATTGACAACTCAAATGAGATCATAACAATCAGTAGTGAAGAGAGTGGAGTACCACCGTACACTGCCGAACCTATGATGGAGCCCAAGGTGTCGATGAAGCATTGAGTCATCGTTGTGACAGTTTCCTGTACCGGTCTTCTGTTGAATAGAAGGAAAGCCCGTAGCTAGTAAACAGACGATCGTTCATCTTCTAGCATCGCAATAATCGATGGATTCTACTTTTTCCCTGACCCAAACACGCACTGTGCGAACTTTCTATGTCAACCTTACCGCGGACTAGCCTTCACCAGCCACGCTTTGATTCCCTCCGTATGTCTCCTAGGCAGCCCCTCCCATCTTCCCTCATCATACGTCGCATCAAGACTCTTCAAAATATTAGCCGCCTTCCTAAGTACCACTCTCTTCGCGCCAGCCCAAGGCGTCTTGTCGACAAAAGCATCCGCTTCGCCCATCAGCTCCATCCTCTTATCCCTGGTCTCCTGTCCATCCTCTTTCTCCGCATCACAAAGCTTACATACACATCTGAAACCCCATGTCCTTTCCAGGAACCCTTGTCTCGTTTCATAGTCAAGCGAAGCATCGTAGGGGTGGAAAATTTCCTCGCCAGCTTTAATAGGCTCCGTAGCACGGATGATGATCATGTCGCCCGCGAACTCCTTTGTTGTGTTGGCGAGGCAGGAGTGGTTGATATATGCAGCGTGACGCCAAAGACCTGTACTAGCATTTCTCGCGCTCTCTTCTCCAAATTGACTTCCAGGTCCGAAAGCGTTGCGCGACATGATGTCGTGGACCCGGAAGATGTCTACGACGGGCCCATCCTCGTTTGAGTAGACATCGCTGCCTTCGCCTTGATAGTCACCGAAGAGATCCATTAGGTCTTCAGTTTGAGATGGCTGGTTGAGACATTTCTGAACGAGCGCTTTTGCGAGACCGACGGGTGCGACGCGAATACGGTCGTCGCGGATGTCGTACGTCATAGCTGTAAGAGTGTCTTCTTCGTGACCCCATACTACGCAAAAGGCCTTTTCGCACATGACGGTCTCCCCAGGGGCGAGGTCACGGGTAGCGTATAGCCCGCGGCCTTTTCCTGGGCTGTCTTTGACTACAGTATTTTTGATAAAGTTTCCAGCGTCAACTCTTGATCGAGCTTTTGAGAGACCGGTCCTGATCTTCACCAGATCGTAGCCTCCTGCTTCTTCCTCGCGTAGACGTGCTTCAATTTTCTTTAGTTGTACTTTGGCGTCCTTATCGTCCGGGGTGAGCTTTTGTGCTTCTTGGAAAAAACGTTTGGCTTCTTGCCAGCGGCTCTGATTGTACGAGGCTGACCCAGCGCGGTAGTAAGCTTTGCTATCTAGTTCCTTTGATTTCTGATCGTCTCTTCCGGTTAGTGAAGCTCGTGCGTCAGTCTTCACTTCGTCTAGCCGACCTAGTAGCAGGTTGACATAAGCACGATTCCGAAAAATGTCGCGCGCTAGATCGGGATTCTCTCCTGCGACGATATCCTGCTTTGCGATCGCCAGGCCTGTGGTGTACTTCTCGTGGGCTAGTGGGAGATCCTGCTTCTTAAGTGCGTTGTTACCCTGAGTTTTGAAGCGTGTGGCTGCCTTCTCCGCTGCCGCTGCATCAGCCCAATCTTTGGTGCCCTCTTCGTGGCAGATGACTAGGTCAGAAGGATGATCGACTCGAAGAGTAGGCTCTCCCTGTTCAGTGAGGGTAAAGTAAGGCTCTTTGATGATGAACTGCTTTGTGGACTCCAACACATCTTCGCTGTACCGTGTTTTGTGCAGCAATATCTCCAGACGTTCTGCATCGCTTCCGTCCTCATCCTGAACCATAGTCCACGACCTCGCGACGAGTGTAACTACTGGGCTCTCTCGCTTTACAACCAGTTTGTAGCCTCGGTGATGCGTCTCCATCTTCAGATCTGCCATTTTCATCGGCTTCAAATCTGACAGTGGCGTCGTGCATGGAGGATATGGCTGGCCTACGCCAATGACAGGGATCGTAGTTGAAGTCTTGCCTTGGGTTTGCATCATATCCGGATCCGGTGCACCTCCCATGTCTGCCATGAGAGCTGCGCCCGTGGCCTGCTGGTGAGCAGCTAGCTTGTCTCTCGGAGCCTTTACATTTCCGCTTTGCTCCTTGCACTTTTCAAATCGTTCTTTGACTGTCTTCTGTATCCGCTCCGCCTCTTTCTCCGTTAAGTATATCGTGTTGTCTTCACGCTGGCTGTTTGCCATATTTGCAACCTATCGCGTTGTTCTCTGGCCAATCTCTCAACTTTCCGCAGGTGTTACTAAAAATCTTTCTTGCGTACCGATGGTGAACGTTTCCGGATTGCCTCGCAGTCAATCCTGATGTATCCGCCAACGAAATGACAGAAAATTTGCTTCGGCGAGGAAAAGAAATTCAGGAGTACAGGGCGTGAAGCGGATTTCAACTGACAGAATTTAATTCTGCTAGAGTCAGATGCTCTCTACTTGAAGTTCGACACCAAGTGCATCCGGAGGGGTCGAAGCTAACTGAAATTTGTTATCGATAAATGTGGGGCAGGAAGCGACACCTTTGGGAGCGGAACTCGAAGCCGCTCGTGAAGTCTATCGTTGCCAACACAGACCTCACTATCACTATATAGTAATCCGAGCTTCAAGTAATCTACTTCCATACACTTGAGCTTTCTGTACCCGCTGCTTTGCCCTTTTGATATGTCTCACTTAGACTGTTATACAAACCTTTGACCCTCTCAATCTCGCCTAATAGCCTCTCCCTCTCGCTTCGATCATGAATCCCTCCGACGACGTCAGCAAAGCTCTTCGCGGTAAAGAACTTGTTCCTGCGATTGTACAGTTGCCTGTTCTGTACCTGCTTTTCATTTTCGCCTTCCCCCTGCACCCTAAACACCTCTTGCAGGATGTCGATGTCGTACGGGATCCCAAATAGATCCCGACTATCCTCATACGTGAACAAATAGTAAAACTCGTTGAAACCTGCCCAAGTAATGCCGCTTAAACAGAGAGAACAAGGCTCGTGGGTAGCGAGGAAGATGCAGTCTTTGGCCGGATGAGGTCGTGTTGACGGATCAGGGAAATCGACAGTGCAGAACTGTTGGATACAGTTTATCTCGCCATGTAGGAGAGGTGATATGCGTTCGTTGTTTGTGGCAAGGGTGTATGGTGCAAGGTCTTTACGGGCCAGGATAGCAGCGCCGAAGAGCTTAGAGCCGCTCGAGACACCTTTCTGCGTCAAAGGTATGATCCTTTCCTCTATCGTAGACAGGAGTTGCGAGACGAGCTTCTCAGGCGGTAGGGATGTTGAAGTTGTGTCGGAGGACATTTTGTGACTGGCAATGGAAAGACGTGCTAGAGTTTGATGTTGCGAGATCTGCAATGTCAGTCTTGGGATGGGGCCATTGTCGTTTTTGACCGCGAATACTGTTTCGCTTATCGTTCGAAGTGTTCGTTGATCGTGTTACTCACGTCGGGGGCTGCCGGTGGCGTACGTGCGGGGCTTACCGATATGTTTATAGCGGGGCGTCGCCGTCCACCTACGTTCTGTACGCATCCGATTTTTCTCCAGCTCTTGAGTTACAGGTCCTTAGTTGCTGAAAAGCCCCGCAGTGTGCTGTTCTAGGCGCATTGCTATACCATGCCCATTGTCCAAAAGCACGCTCAGAATATATCACATACCCTTCTTTAGAGAATGATCGCTGGAGTCTTATTCTCATTCTAGTCGATATCCTGTCGAAGCGAACCAGCCGATAACATAATTCAAGCTTTCTGTTCACTTAAGATTATACATTGGCTGATCTCTTGTGCTAATGGAAGGAAATATCCTGTCTTGATCTTGGAATATTAGGAGGCTGGTATGATGTGATTAGAGCTGTAGACTGCCTCATTCTAATGACACATTCTCCAAACTGCTCTCGTCTTCCGTGGGGCGCGAGTGTATCTCAAAGTATAGAGGAGGAAGCATGGAAGTTACCACTGCGAAGGGTAGCTGATGACAAGGTGCCCACATGGAGACGCTAGCCGAACACAGAGCAAGCGCGGAACACGTCCACCAGCTCAACGCGTTGCGTCCTAGCAATCTTCCCCACATCAACCGAGACAGCGAAATCCGATGACGACTATGCATCAACCGGGGACAAGTAATGGAGTACATGTAGAATTCATTAACTATCTGTTTTACAGCTCGCGGAACTCATAAATCGACAAACTCGCCCTTCAACAGTGGATCGTCGCGCACCTGCTGCAGGTAGTTCTCTACCTTCGCCATCAACGCAGGCACATCGAAGCCAAAGTATTTGTAGGCTGCTTTGCCTGGCAGGCTGTGACCGAAGCGCTTTACACAGCATGCTGCATCGGCATACCTCTCCCATCCGTTTGGCGCATACGGCTCAATAACGACAGCTGGAATGCCGCGATGTCTTCTCAGAGTCTCTCGCTTGTATTGTGTAGACTGGGCATCGAATAGCCGCTGGCACGGGAAGCTCACGACGCGTGCTTTAATGTTCTTCGCCTTCAGCTCCTTCGCTGTATCGACCGCATGATGCAGCTCTGCACCGACACCAATAAGCGTCACATCCGCATCCTCAACCTCCTCGATTACATATGCACCTTTCCCGACCGAATCCCGCTTCGTCTGTGCAAGCTGAGGAAGAGTGTGTCGCGATGTCGAGATGATGGTCGGCGTGTTCTTCGCCTCAATTGCTGTGATCCACGCTCCGGCAGTCTCCTCGCTATCGGCCGGTCGAATGTACAATAGGTTGGGCATAGCGCGGTAGAGGTTTGCGAGTTCAATTGGCTGATGAGTTGGACCGTCTTCGCCCATCCCAATGCTATGTTGATGTCAGTGAGGAACCATTGAAGAGCTCTGGGGCTGCTACCTGTCATGTGTCGCCGCATGTATGACCTGGAGCTGTTGCAGCGCGCCCATTCGAATAGCCGGTGCTGCATAGAGGTAGAACATGAAGAAAGAGGATGTGACAGGGATAAACGTGTTGGGTGCAAAAGCTGCCAAACCGTTGGAGATGGCACACATGGCATGCTCCCGCACACCGTAATGGATGTACCGTCCGCTGTAATTGCCTACAATCCCGCATGTTGTCTTCAGATCAGGCTGAGACTTGTCAGCGACCTGCTTCTCGGAGGGAAGAGTGCAACACTTACATTCTGGAAATCGACCTTGCCCTTCCAAATCATATTGACCGAGGGCGACAGATCCGCTGTGCCGACCATGAAGTTGTTTATCTTCTCGGCGATCGAATTGAAGACCAGGCCCGACGCTTTTCTCGTCGCCGTCGGCGCATCGGGAAATGAGCTCGGAACCAGGTCTTTCCAATTCTCTGTCAGGCGACCCTCCACCCTGCGTTTGAAGTCGGTTCCCTCCTCCGGATACTTACTTAGATACTCGTCTACTTTCTTCTCCCAGGACTTTACAAGCTCCTCGCCCCTCGCCGGAATATCTTCAAAGAACCTGCGCACTTCATCGCTAACAACAAAATGCTCCTCGGGGTTGAAGCCGTAAGCTTTCTTCATGTTGGCCACATCCGCTGCGCCGAAAGCTGCGCCATGCGCAACTGCGTCGCCTGCAACAGCACTGCCAAGGCCGATTACCGTTCGGACATTGATGAATGTGGGCTTCTCAGTAGATGATCGTGCCTTGTTCAGAGCCTCAACAAGGCCCTCAATGTCGAAACAGCCATCCTCAATGTCGATGATATCCCAGCCGCATGCCGCCATCTTGGCATTCACGTCCTCAGTATTGGTTAAATCGACAGAACCGTCGCAAGTGACCTGGTTGTTGTCGTAAATAATGGTAAGGTTGTTCAGCTTCAGATGGCCAGCGAAAGAGATTGCTTCTAAGGCAACACCTTCTTGAAGGCACGCGTCTCCGATCATACACCATGTGTGGTTCGACACCACGTCGAAGTCTGGCTTGTTGTAAATCGCCTGCAGGTTCTTTGTCGCCATTGCCAGACCCACCGCGTTAGCCACACCCTGTCCTAACGGGCCAGTCGTCACTTCAATGCCTTCATGTTCGATTTCAGGATGTCCTGGACAGAGAGCGTCGACGCGATCTGAGTGATACGACTTCAGTTGATCGAAAGTCATGGCTTTATACCCTGTGAGATGGAGGAAGGTGTATTGGAAAAGACATGTGTGGCCGTTTGACAGGACGAATCGATCCCGGTTGAAGTACGTAGGTGTGTGCGGTGCATATCGCATGCCATACTTCCACAGTGCGACACCAATCGCAGCCATACCAATGGCGCCTCTATCATATCTTTAGTCCTATGCTTTCGAAGGTTGTTGGACTGCTTACCCGGGATGCCCGCCATTGAACTGTTGACACAGATCCGCAATGAGCAGTCTGAAAGTTTTCAAAACATGATCTTGCTCTTTCGATAATTTTTGAACCGATGACTGTTCCAACTTCGCCTCTTTTTTCAGTCCATCCACGACGTTCTGACCGTAACCGGTCGAGCCGTTCACTTGTGGTGAATCTTGCGATGTATGCATTTTGTGTCTTTGTGAGAGGGAAATGCGAGGTATGAACTTCACCACACGAATATTAGTAGACTTATAAATCTGAAAGGACTAACAGGAGTATCGTTTCTAGGTATCTCTTGTGCTGCTATGAAAACTAATCTTCGACGTATATCCAGAACAGTTGGCCGGGCTTTCCACATTTGGTAATCCGACGCGTCGATCTTGCGGGAATACACGTCGTCTTCTCGATTCCCATTGGACGGGACAACCACGCCTAGATCAATTACGGTAACCAGTGCCACCAACACACTACTTTGTCAATCCCACTGAAGGCTTCCCCGCATTTCGCCACGGACTACTGCACATGCTGATCCCCGTTGCGAGGACGGGACTTCCTTTCTCGCCAGAATGGCAACATGACGCGCTGAACATGTGGGGCTACTTGGTGCGTGTTTATCCTTTGACAGCGCTTGCCCTTGCTTTCGGTGATTGAGCTTCAGCAAACAGACATGGCCCCGGCACTGGCACCTGAATCTACTTCGTCCAACGCAAAACCTACCGCTACCACACAGGCAACTATCAAGACACCATTGCCAAACCCGTCGTTACAAGTTACCGCAGACCACAATTTGAAGCTGCAAGAGGCGCCTGTGTACGCGCCAAAGAGGGGGGAAGTATTGCTGCATATCAAAGCTACAGGTGTTTGCGGGTACGAAGTTTCAACACAGAGGGATTGTCAAGGCTAATTAGGTGTCAGATCCGACATTCACTTTTGGAAGGCTGGGAGAATAGGCTCACTCATTGTCGAAGGCGACTGTATTCTTGGACATGAAGCGGCGGGAATTGTCCTACAAACCGGTGAAGACGTTACAACTCTCAAGCCCGGTGTGTTCGACCCCTTGAATTCATTCTCCAGTACTGATGTTTAGTCCAGGTGATCGCGTAGCAGTCGAGCCTGGTGTTCCATGTGGCTCATGCTTTCTTTGCTTGGACGGCCGATACAACCTTTGTGAAGACGTCCGATTTTCAGGTGTCTATCCATATCACGGTACTATCCAGCGCTACAAGACGCACCCCGCGAAATGGTGTCACAAGCTTCCGTCTAGCATTTCGTATGCGGAAGGCGCGCTGCTCGAACCGCTTTCCGTTGTTATGCATGGCATCAAGTCAGCAGGTCTGTCCCTCGGCCGCGGTGCGGTGATTTGCGGTGCTGGGCCAATTGGTCTCATCGCGCTGGCTGCAGCGAGAGCGAGTGGAGCGCATCCGCTTGTCATTACGGATCTTGAGCCTAAGCGACTGGCGTTTGCAAAACAATTTGTACCGACGGTCGCCACCTACCAGGTTGATCGAAGTCTTGACGCGCAGGGTAATGCCAAAAAGATCAGGGAACTCTTCGACTTTGAGAATGTTGGCGAGTATGGTGCACCAGAAACTGTCTTGGAGTGTACGGGTGTGGAGAGCAGTGTTGTCACCGCGGCGTACACAGCGAGAAGAGGTGGCACGGTAATGGTAATCGGCGTAGGTAAGGAGATCATGAACAACCTACCCTTCATGCATCTGAGTCTGGCTGAGGTATGTGCTCTTTACTTCACTACGTTCATTTCTGCAAGTATATCTTGGACATTCTCCGTTGACTGCTGCTACAGATCGATCTCAAATTCATCAATCGCTACCGCGACACATGGCCCTCGGGCTTGCAATGTTTGGCTGGTGGTATTCTTGATCTGAAGCCACTTGTTAGCCACACGTTCCCTTTGGAGAAGGCACTGGAAGCTTTGCACACATGCGGAGACTTGAGCAATGGAAGTATCAAAGTGCAGATTATTGATGATGTGGATGATGTACTGTAGTCTCTAACAGAACCAGTGTTCTCAGTATCATCAATTCGATGCGAGGTAGCTCTAGCTTCCTGAGTAAATGACGTGTATGTTGAGTCTGCAAGAAGGGGTGTTGATGGTCGCCACTGCCTTGAAACAGAGCCGATAGCCTTTCCCCACCCAACATATCGTGATTTCACCCCACACAGTAACAATGATCGACCTGCCGGAACATCACCTGCCGAACATACCAGATCCATGAAATCTGTAACGGCATCCTTTTCTTCAACAAAAGATGTTATTGCGGCACATACCATAACTTCATAATTACTATTCTCTGTATCCAGATACTCTTAGCTCACCAACCAAGCTCGTGAGCATAACTACCTCAAGGCCGATATTCTCTCAGATAGGACTGCAGGAGCGCGGCCGGCAAAACCTCGGGTACGCTATTGGGAGACCATTGGGTAGCAGTGAATCGGCAGAACCTCGGATTCAGCAAGACGCTTAAACAAGACTAAACTTTCGGAGACATCGACCATGCGCATAGAACGTCGCCTTGAACGTACCGAAATTCCGGATCTGGGGAAGTTGTGTCAACGCGATTCTCAATCCATGTAAGTGCGGACGGAGAGGAAGCAGCGATACAGCGGCAAACGTGGTATCTGCATATTTCGTTCATCCGAGCACTCGCGTCGAGGCGTCTTTTGGCGGTTTCTCCTCCCGATGCGCGTGAATTGATCCGCAACTTAGGTGGCCTCGGAACTCTGGCAGACCTATAAAGTGGCTACCCCCGCATTCTCCAGATCTACATTGATCTTTCAACCGGGGATGAGCCTTGCTGACCCTTTCCGTTCACTTCCACTATTCTTCCTTCACTGGCTGTATCAGCGCTATCAAGCCTTTGTGTCTCCTAAGCATCATGGCTCCAGACCATGACAAGAAGCCCAACACAATCGAATTCAACGAACACGTAACGGAGACAACGACCGCCGCAGACACTTCCGCGTTAGGTCACCTCGCCAATCAAGAAGACCATGAAGTTGGTAAACTTGCGTCCTTCCGCAAGTATCCTTGGGCTTGCGCTTGGTCTATCTACATGGTTTGGATAGTCCTGCTGGTCAGTTTCGAGAATCAAGCAGCTGGCAATGTCATAGGTATCCCGGAGTTCAGGAAGGATTTCGGACATCAGTTTACTGCAGATGACGGCACTGTAAGTTATGTTGTTGATGCTCAGTGGCAGTCAGCCTTTCAGGGTGCGCCCGTAGCTTCGTAAGTCATCAAGCTCGCCGAATGCTACGACAAGACTAACGATTCCAGTGCTATCGTGGGTGCCCTTGGATGTGGGCAACTTGCTGACTGGCTTGGCCGCCGCTTAGTGGTCATGATTTGTCTCGCTGTCACTTTCGCCGCTGTCACCATGGAGTTTGTTGCGACAACAAACGAGCTCTTCTTCGGTGGCAAGTTTTTGAATGGCTTCGTGGTCGGTGCCCTGGCATCGGTTACTGTAACATACATCGGCGAAGTCGCTCCTTTGAAACTCAGAGGCATGCTGACCTGCTTGACTGCTCTATCTTACACCCTCGGGCCACTTACAGTTGCGCTCATCGTCAACTCCACCGGAGTGTACACCAGCCGTTGGGCATACCGTGCTGTCTTTTGCGCACAGTATGGGTTTGCTGCCATAGCTACTGCTTTTGTCTGGTTCATGCCTGAGTCTCCATGGTGGCTTGCATCTAAAGATCGACAAGCAGACGCACTGGAGGCTCTGAACAGTCTTGGTCATCGCGGATTTGCAGGGGAACAAAAGCTCGCTCAGATTATGACAACTCTACAAGAGGTTAAGCGCGAGACTGAAGGCGTCACATACCTGGAGTGTTTTCGCAAATCCAACCTCCGGCGAACGATTATTTCAATCATGCCGCTCACCATACAATCTCTCAGTGGCATCACTTTCGCTGCTTCGTACTCAACATACTACATGCAACTTGCCGGATTTACAACAGCCATGTCATTCAAATTGCAGATCGTCCAACAAGTTATCTCGCTTATCGGAAACGTCATATCTTGGTACCTGGTCGATCGAGTAGGTCGTCGCAACCTTACTTTCTGGGGTCTCTTTGTTCTCACAATCATCTTGTTCGTCATGGCCGGCCTCGCCGTTGTCGGTACCGTCCCTGCATTGAAGGGTGCTATCAGTATGATCCTCATCTACTGCTTCTGGTATAACGTTACGATTGGAGCCACTGCCTACACCATTCTCTGCGAGACATCAACTTCCCGTCTCCGCGTCAAAACCATCGCCATCGGGCTCGCCCTACAGAATGCTCTCAACACTATGTGGAGTTTCGTGCTACCCTATTTGTTCAATCCTGATCAACTCAATCTTGGTGGGAAGCTAGGCTTTATCTTTGGTGCTTTGTCCATTGTTTGTTTAGTGTATCTTTGGTTCTACCAGCCCGAGACAGCTGGCCGGACATACGAAGAGTTGGATGAGATGTTTGCTAATAAAGTCAAAGCAAGAAGCTTCGCAACGCACAAAACGGATGCACAGGCCATGGGTGAGGCGGTCAAGGAGAAGGAGGTAAGTTATGACTGTACGAAATGCATGTGAGACATACACTGACTTCGCATCTCCACATTCGTAGAATATGTAGAGTATGAGTCTATCCTCGCGACATAGAGTTCAATGTTATATCAAAGACTGAAATTCACTTTAAACACATCTGATATCGAGCCGTCGCCTTACCCGGACTATATGGTTGACCATGCCGGCTTCAGGGTGACTTTGTCTCCAATACCGCATGGCGTCCAGACAAACTTGTCGTCACCTTCATTCAACGATTATGTCGTCGGGATGACAGTCATCAAGAGCCACGTCTTGCGCTTCCAATACGTCTTCGCTGATGACGCTAAGGTGGAGAAAGCGCATTTCCGGGATCGTACAATCTTACAGCACTACGCTCTACTTCTTGATCAGCGACCACTAGAACTCGCACAGACGTTCAATCAGAGGGATCATCCGGACAGCTGCTGTCAATGGCTTTTTGCCACTAGAAGAGTGGACGTATTTCGACGATGAGATGCTCATATTCCTGGAAGCGAGGGATCCAGAACTATTTGTACAATTGAAGAGGTGACCTATCGGTAGACTGAGACCAGATGGATTAGTACCATGCTGCGTCACATCAGCGCCCAACTTAACCTTTGGTGTGAAAACCTGCCTTATGCTTTATCCCACCGTTCCATACCTTCTTTCTTCATCTTATCATACCAGTTCCTCACATACTCCAATCCTGCGTGCGGACCATAAATCCTCTTTTCCCACTGCGGAATAGGAGCCTTCAACCCCGTTTCGATTTCGCACTTCTGCATCAGTTCACTGAGAGTGCCGCCGCGGTCAATCACATTGTCAGTACTATATCCCTCTTTCGAGCGCTCTTCACGTCTCTTGCTACGAAGTGTCGAGGTGGCAAACTTATCGAAGTTGAAAGTGTGTGGATCAACGATGACACCATAGTTGTCCCGGGCGCCTTCAACAGTGACGAGACGGCGGTGGACTTCTTGCGCTACACGTTCGGGAGGGCGTGTAAGAGGATCGCCAAGACCTCCACCGCCCCAAGTGATCCATTCCAAAACGTCGCCTGAGTGGGTCAGTATCAATCTCGAACATGTAGAACTCTTAGACTTGCCTGGATAAACGTGGATGTGATCCTGCTTCGACTGACATAGTTCCATGTTGTCCTTTTCTGCTGCTGTACCATAGCTGTTGTTACGGTACAAGATCTTCCTAGATCTGCTTCCTGGCTTACCACCGTTAACACCCCATGCCTTAGTCAGCCAACGGTCGTCGTGCGTGCTGACATCACCTTCACAAAGCCATCTATATAGAGTCCTCTGTGCGTTACCTCCTCTGTAGAAACCGGCGCCTCCAGAGTCCGGTAAAGCTTCGTTGGCCTCGATAATGACAGGGAAGTAAAGCTCGATATTCTCAGCCGGGATAGACTTGATGGCTGGGAAAAGACAGTGACAGTCTGGACCGTCACCGATCGGTCGCGCAGGCACACCACCAAAGCCGATCTGGTAGAGCAAGTAGAATTCACCATCGGGCTTGAACCCGGAGTAGAATAGATGTGGTGAATCGGAGAACCCTGCTGCACAACGATAGGCAGGGTTTTGTTGACCAAAGAGCGCCTGTAATACATCCATGATACGACCGAGAAGATGAGTACGGCAACTGACGGCTGCTGGGCGGACGGGACGAAGAATGGTGCCGGTCGGGATCTTGATGTCGAGTAAATCGTGGAAGCCGTCATTGACAACCTGTCAAAATTAGCTCCTAGATTCTATAGCTTTTATGTATAAGATTCTTACTGCAAAAGGATCGTAAATGGCGAGCAGATGATACCCGATGAACATCTTGAACAAAGTGATCGAGAGATAAAAGTTCATCGACGTATTTGACTGAGGTGATGTGCCGTCCCAATCAAAGATGAGCTTGCCATCTTGCTTCTTCATTGAGCAAGTAATAGCGTATGGACCGATGCCCTGTCCATCGTCGTCGATGAAGTCGGTGAAGCTCGATACTTCATCGCTGATCTTCTCGTTGATGATCCTACTAATGGCAAGTTTGTTCTGCTCCAGCAGATAATCTGTGGCTGCCTCGTAGACCTCCAGGCTGTAGCGTTCGCAGAGCTCGGTGACACGTGTAGCAGCTGTTCGACAGGCGGTAACGAGCGCCATTAGGTCACTCTGGAACCAATCTGGGGCGCGAGAGTTGCGGAACAGTACAGTCGCAAGAGTGTCGTTGTAAACACCGTTTGTGTATAGCTTGACAATGGGAATTTGAAGGCCGTCTTCGTAAATGGTACTGGCGTTGATACTCATAGAGCCCGGAACTTTTCCTTGCACATCAGTTATGTGACCGAAGTTCGCCGCCCAGCCTATAAGCTTGTGCTCATAGTATATGGGAAGTAGCACGATAACGTCGTTGAGGTGTGATACGGCACCATCGATTTGGTATACGTCATTGGTCACGAAGACGTCGCCTTCTTCGACCGTGCCGTTCCAACCGTTCAGGAATTGCTGTATGAAAGACCCAAATTGACCAACAAGCATCTGTCCCCTTGTATTAGTAATCACGTTGAACTCGTCTTGTTGTTCTCGAATCGCCGGGCTCATGGCGCAACGAAGCAGAAGTGCATCCATCTCTCTTCTGATAGACCCAAGCGCAGAAGCGATGAGAGTGGCAATAATAGGCTGCTCTTTGATCATATCCTGAGCTGACTCTTTAGTATGAACGGTCTTTCGTTCTTCCTTCTTCTCGGTAGGCCAAATGAGTATGTTACCCATGGAGTCGATCATTCCATAAAATCCGGGCAATATGAGCGTGTTCGAGTCCATCTCCGTGACAACCGCTGGGCCATGTATGACTTTTCCAGCCCCTCCAATTTTGGAACGGTCCCAGAATGTGGCTTCGACCTTTTTGCCATCCCAGACGATTGACTGCTTGGCTGTGATCGCGCCGTCCCAAGGTTCGGATGTACGAGCATCCTCCAGCGGCTTGAAGGCTACCTCCTCGGAAGCATCAACAACCTTGGCACGTAAGCGCATCGTCTCCATCTCGGCATGCGCATGTGAAAATCCGAACTGATGTTGATGGGCTTCATTGAACTTGTTGCGCAAGATGTCCACGAGCTTGTCTGAGCTTTCGAGCTCACTGGAACTCAAATCAACAGTAAGTGTCATGGCTTGACCCTTGTAACGCATATCCGCTTGGTATATGACATGCAACGCAGCGTTCTCATCGGCAAGCGAGGTTTTCATGGTGTCTACACCACTAGCCCTGAGACTGAGTAATGTCTCCTTGAGCTCTTGCTCTGTGATATCTGAGAAGGCGCGAATATATGTGCAGCTCTGCTCATGGGACATCTTGGTGATGGCATCACCCTGTGCACAAAGGACACCAGGAGAGGGAGGGACGATGACGGGCCAGGAACCAAGAAGCTGACCTAGAGCGTTACCATGGAGCGGACCAGCGCCACCGAGAGCAACCAAGGCGAAGTCGCGTGGGTCGTAGCCTTGCTCAACAGATACCAGACGAAGAGCTCCATGCATGGACTCGTTTACTAAGTCGATGATTCCTTCAGCTGCGGAAGCAGTGTCAAGGCCCATCTGCTTAGCAATTGACTCAACTGCAGTAGTAGATGCGGCAACATCCAATTGGAATTTACCGCCTAGTAGCTTCGAAGGAAGGCGACCCAGCGCCAAGTTTGCATCAGTCACAGTCGCTTGGGTCCCACCTTTGCCATACGCCGCAGGACCAGGTGTAGCACCACTGGACTCTGGCCCAACACGCAACGTTTTTGTAAAGTCGTTGAATATCGCAATGGAACCGCCACCAGCGCCTACAGTGTTCACATCAACACTTGGGGCTCGTACGGATAAGTGGCCGATGGCGGTTTCTCGTCGAATGATAGCATCGCTACCTGAGAGTAAAGCGCAGTCGGTAGAAGTTCCTCCCATGTCAAAGGTGATGAGATTCTTGTACGGCGTGTTCTTGGCGACCAGATGCGAGACTGCCTTGACGCCGCCAGCTGGGCCGCTCATGAGGATACGCACTGGTGTTTCACCGGCGAGGTGAACTGACGTTAGATCGCCATCGGATTTCAAGATGCGGATTGTATCGGTGTCATCCGCAAGCATTTTCTGCAGGTTCTGCATGTAGCTCTTGACTACTGGCTTGACGATGGCATTCGCAGCCGTCGTAACGGTGCGCTCGTATTCCTGTATCTCTGGCAGCACGTCCGTTGAGGTGACAATCTCAACATCTGGGCCAAATTCGCTGATCAGTATGGCTTTGATGCGTTCTTCATGCGTGCTATTAGCGAAGGAGTTGATGAGCGACACGGCAATGGCTTGAGGCTGTTGTCGCTTGAGATCCTGCAAGTCGTTCCGTAATTCATCTTCATCCAAGTCGTAGAATATGTCACCATCAATCTTGATACGCTCTTTGACTTCGACGGTTCTCTCGAGCGGCACAAGAGGCTCGGGCTGTTCATAGTGCATCCACGAACCTAGGCCGCCCGGTATCTGGCTGCGTCTTGTAGCCAGTATGTCCTTGTGGCCCTTGGTAACGATGAGGCCGCATTTGGCGCCCTTGCCTTCGAGCACGGCATTGGTGCCCGTGGTGGTGCCATGATGTATATACTCGAACTTGCCATCCCAGTTGTACTTGTCTTTGAGTATTTTTCGTGCCTGCTGCACACCTTCGTGCACGCCAATTGACTGGTCTGTCGTGTTGGTCGGTACCTTTGTGCGTACTGCCTCGCCGTTGGGCGTGATGACGCACACTAAGCTCGGTTAATCGGTGAAGTATACTTTGCGCAAAAGGGCCGTACCGTCGGTGAAGGTTCTGGGATCGTGTTAGCCGCATCCCATGACCTGGGCCGGGTCCAGGCAAGCAGTGAGGTGGTGACAGTTGTGGACTCGGGGAAGGCGTGCATGTTCGCCGCCGTGGCTACTAAGAAGCTAGCGGGTGGGCGTCTTCCCACGGGTACACGAGGCAAAATTCAATCGAGGCAGGCACTACTCACCCTCCAACATCAACACCCAGTCGGTAACCCGGTGCAGCCATGGTGTCGTAGCCGAGGAGTAT